TATAACAAAACATATACTACACATACACACATCCTTCTTTACCTCATTGGTCATTTACAATACCATTCCATCTGTCTACACTTTTTGGTCCTCAGGGCTCAGTCTATCTGCATCATCATGTCTCACTCTTGCCCTCCAGATCCACTCTCTGCCCTTCTGCACATGCCCTTGGCTCCAAAGGCTGACCTTTCAGATCGCATCTACCAACTCCCTTACACTTTGCCTTATGGTTGGTTCAGTTAGAGGAGTTTTCTAGGCAGAAGATCAAAGGAAAGTGAGGCCAGGATATTTATTCCCACAACTTCCTCTCTGCCAGGTGCCTCTACCGCAGGCCACTGTTCCCGCCACATGGTCCTCCTGATTAAGCTCCCCTGTCAGGTTCCAGTGACCCCTGCTTCCCTTGTTCCTTCAGGCCTCAGGATGTCGGTTACCTGCCAGGACCCTGTCTAACCCAGGAGCCTTTCTGAACTGTCTTCTTCTCCTGGTTTCTGGATGGATAATGATCTGTCCTCATCCAGTCCTACCTCCCTGACAAGTCCTTTATGGGCATTGCTTTCACAGGGCTCCGGCAACCTGAATTTCTCTTCGTAACAATGCTGTGTATCAGTGCTGAACTTTTGCCTCATTAAAGGACATGGGTAAAATACAGAAAAGTGTGGTTTAGCTATAATCCTACCATACATGCACATCACTCTAGGAGTATCTTTTTTCTTTAAAAAGTAAGTTTTGCTCAGTGGTTAGAGTGTCAGCTCACGCACCCAAGGGTCACAGGTTGATTCCCAGTCAAGGGCATGTATCTGGGTTTCAGGTTTGATCCCTGGCCCCAGTTGGGGCGCATGAGAGAGGCAACCAATCCATGTGTCTCTCACAATGATGTTTCTCTCTCTCTCCACCCTCCACCCCTCCCCTCCACTTTCTCTAAAAATAAATGAAAAAAAAAAATCCTCTGGTGAGGATTAACCAAAACCAAAAAATAAAAAAGTAGTTACAAATCACTCTTTAAAAAATCACAGGTGACACTTTCACCACAACCTGTGCAATGATGTAAATATAAATAAAGAAAAAGTGAGTGCTCTTCCCCAGTGCTTCTGGAGCCTTCACCTCAGTCCCCACCTTCTCCCTGCCTTGGCCCTAAATACAGCATTGAACAGCCTGGCCAGTCTTCTCTATACCTGTCTCCATGATATTCAAACCCATACCAAAATATATACTCATATATGGAGAAGGTGATACACTCTCTACAAAAACTGAGAGCATGTTACTAGAAGTAGATCTAGTTCACTACCTTGAATAGCCTCATAATATTACAGAGTGTAAGTATACTATAATTTATCTAACCATTTCTCTACTGATGAAAATTCAAAAAATTTTCAGCTGTCTTTGGTACTACAAACAATGCTCCAATAAATGCCCTTATGCACACATTCTTATTAGTGCATCTATTTATGGAAGCTAAATTCCTAAAAGTAGGGTTGGTAGGACAAAGTTACATATATTTTCAATTACTTAAGTAACTTCACTTACTTTCTTAAAATACATATAGCAATGTATTTCCTGTCAATTTAATTCTTGATTTGTTTTATATGGGTATAAGTTGGTATATGCAATTTTTGAATGTTATTTTCTTTCTTAGCATTAATTACAGATAATTTTCTATATGTTTTCTACAATATCTTTCTATATACTTTCTGTAGTAATCTTAACATCTGTCCATTAATATTGTAAAGCTTCTTTAAAATTTTATTGGCATTGCATCACACCTCAATATTACATCTACTCCCCTATAATATATATGCAGAGAAGAATCAAAGGTTTGACAGTAGCATTAGATATAATAAAATCTATTACACATACGCCTCTCAACCCTCAATCAGCTGACTTAACTACATCTTTTCATGGGCACAAGAATTGGACAAGTGAGTCACAATATCAAGAAGGACTATGCCTGGGGCATGTGCTTCCATCACCACCCCGGCGATTTCAATCAAAGGAAAAGATCACGAGATGGCTGAGGAGCCCACTGAAACACTGGGGGTGGGGAGCCGAGTTCCATGTGATTCTGCTGGCTTTAAACAGGTCTACTGAAGATCAAAGGTAAAAGAAACCATCGAAACAGAAAGGAATTCAGCCCCAAGGCTGCTGCTATGCAGGCTTGCACAGCTAGAGTCCCTCAAGGTTTGAGAAAATACCACATTCTACAAAGGCTTGGGAACATTCTACAGCAGTTTCCATCCCAAAATAAAAGACTATAAAAATAATTCCAAGGTGGGGGAGAAGGAGAGAGGAGGAGGATGAGAAGAGAAATCTGGCCACTATTCATTGTTAGTATATTCTCTATTTGATCATATCACCACCAGTCAAGAAATTCCTGCATGTACCCCTTGGAGTGGAGAGTTAGGAAAATTACAAAGCTAGCAGGATGTGGACCAATAGGCTCTGTGATACCTCTGTGCTATCTCCTCTGTGGATGGTGATGTTGACTTTAATGGCTTGGTCCTGTGAGAAGGAGAAGCGGATTTCATTCTTTCCTGGGAATTACTACTTGTCCATAACACTTAAGAATCTTCCAACTGGAAACGGGTCTGATTACTTTTGCCAGCCTTAATCTCCTACTAAAGCAGTTAATGGGAGCTTTTAATAATGCTAATCACATCACTTCAATAAAATACCTACATGTTAGTTCCACAGGAAATACATGTCCACAGACCATAAACTCAACCTGGTAATAGCTGACATGGGAGAGAGGGGGGAGGTGGATACAGATAAAGGCACACTGTGCAGTGACAGTAAATGAATTACAGACCCCTCCTCTGGGCTGTGGGGACTGCTTGAGGCCTCTGCTGGGATGAGGTGGGAGGAAAGAGAAAGTTAAAAAGGCAGCTGGAAGCAGAAAAGTCCCCCTGTCTGGACCCACCAGCTGCAGGAAGTCACTGATGGATCCAGAATATGAAGAGGACTCAAGGCTGCAGAAAAGGGGAACTAAAGGGAGGGAAGGGGACAAGAACATGGGATAAACATCAAAGATATTATCTAGAGAACTCCCTCCCTTAATGGTTTTCAAAGGAGGGCCAAGATAAGAGCTAAAACTTGGATGTCCTGGGGGAAGGTCCCAGCAAAAGGGAAGTCATCCGGGCCAGAAAAAAATGGTCCCTCCGAACCCCTATTCTCCTTTCCCTTTCCAACTCCTTTCATAAAGTTGGAAGCACCAGGGGTGTCCCTGCTAAGGAATCTCTGTGATTCTAATGACTGGCTCAAGATCCCAATGGAAGACCTGGGACCAAAATAAAGGGGATGGTTCTGAGTTATTGTATGGAGAAGCCAAGGAAGGAAGTGATCATCTGTTGAGCTTGCCCCTCAGTGGGTTCATGGTCAGTCACCCAGAAGCTGAATGTCTTCTGGGTGTCCACCTTGACCCACGTATGGCAGAGCTTTTGTAATATCTTTTCTATAGAAAAAGAACAACAAAATAAAAAGATAATTCTAAGTCAGGGGGAAAGGTTTATGGATGCTCAATGTATTTATACTTTCTGGATGAGGAACACACAGAATCCTAGAATTTGGTGACTTCTAAAAAGAACCTTCAGAGTGAAGCTAGCCATTCTGCACTCACGTCTCCAAGACTCTCTCACCTAATAGTTGCAGAGAGCTTCCGTTCCAAGTATTTCACAGTATGCATAGGGAGAAAGATTTTTCATCACTAGGGTTTCAGGATACATGCTTATAAAATCTACAATCCTATGGCTTTCTTGATGACACAGATTGGTTATATTATGAAAGAAGCAAGTGTTATCAAACTAAGATCAATATATTGCAATCCCACGATGAAACCATTTACCACATTGTTTTAAGAGCCAGCCCCTGGACCAATGATTTAGAAACAGTTATAAAAAATGTCAAGAATTCAAAATAGTAAGAAAGCTTTTGAAGTTTTTCTTTCCTACATAGACATTTTTATCTCAAAAAATTGCCATGATATTCGCTCTAACCTGTGAGAGACCGTATATCATGTTACAAACTATTCCCTAGACAAAGCATCGACCATATGCTGCTAAAGCACCGCTGAAAGAGAACCTGTTACTCGCACGATGGCACACAAGACCCTGCGCATCGGGCCACGCTGGCCTGGAAAATGTAATGAGTACAGGAGTGGCACTTCCTACACCTTGCCGCTTGTGGTCTTACTGGACCCACTGACAGAAGCCCCAAATTGTGTCCATGTAAAATTGTAAATCACATTAAGCATATGAGCCAGATTGTCTCTGTAGCACCTTTTGCATAAGAAATGATGTTGCACCAGGAGTGGTAGGAACCCATAAATAAGTTATAACTTCAGAGCAAACATTGCTTTGTGCTCCTTTAGGAAATTAAAAAAACAGAAATTAAAAAAAAAAAACAAATCTGAACTAAGTCTCTTCAACTTAAACTGAATTTATCACTCCTCTGGCAAAAACAAAAAAAGTTTTTGTCATAAAAGAATGATGTTACAAAGGTGATTACTAAAAAGAAAAACAAACAACAAAACCCTCTAACAACAGACACAGCGCGCTTTTGCTCTTCTACTCGGAGAATCCCCACAAATTCAAGCTACTCAGCAGTACCGCCAGCAAAATTCAGGCCAAGGGGCCAATTACCCGGGGTTTGCATCAGAGGCAGCGACCAGTTGCTACTTCTCCCTGCTTGTTTGCTCCTGTTCCTGTGAGAGTCCTGTGGTAAGCAACCATGGAGGCAGCCTTAGCGTACGCCCACCAAGATAAAATAAAACAAAGACATTTACAAAGTATTGCTTCTGGAAGCACCTACAACCCTGACTCCATAAGTAAACACCATCCTCACAATCTCAACACTTCCCTATACCACTCCCAGTTTTCTTGTTACAAGGAGAATTGACTAACAGGCCCAGGAATGTCGGTTCATGGTTCACTGACCTGTCCCTGAATAGCACAAGCAGTTTGTGAATCACCCCCCAAAAACGATGTAAAGCATCTTAAACAGGGACTAACCTGGAGGTGACTGGTGCGGAGGCTGAGCTGTGATCCTCCCGGGCCCCAAGATCTTTTCCAAAGATTCCCCAGGCACCAACCGAGGTTGGTCCGCTCTGAGGAAGGCTGAGCTGGCTCCTTTGGTCTCCGTGACCTTCGCAGAGGATGATGGCTCCAAGGTGTCAGCAGAGGTGGACCCAGAGAAGGTGCCACTCTTTCTACCAGGAGAGTCATCAAGAGCGGCTTCCCTCTCGCCAGGCAGCCGGAGGAGCCTGTGATGCTGTGGAGGGCTGGGGAGCCTTGGAGATAGAGGCGAGGGAACAGGTGACATCCGTGTGTGTGTGCCAGACTGAGAGGATGAATTATTAAATACTGTGCCCAGAGCTGGTGGGGGCGGCCTCTCACCACCTCCGCCCTGTGAGGAGTCGGGGCCAGAACTGCGGGGCAGATCCAGAAACAAGGTCTTGTGGCCGCTCAGAGACAGCCCAACTCTCCTCTTGCTTCCAGTGTCTGGGAGGGTGCGGGGGGCCGTCCTGCTGAGGGGGAAGCCCAGCCTCTTCCCCTCAGTGGCTTCAACTAACTTCTCACTCTCTATCACCTTCAGGAGGACCTTGTTCACAGCCCCCTCGGTGCTGGCTGGAAGACATTCCCTGGCCGACGACTGCCATGACCCGTCCCCGCGCTGCTCCTTGCCCTGCCGCTTGGAACCAGGAGCCCCAGCCTTGGCTGCTGGGAGGGTGAGCAAGTCTGCGCTGGGAAAGAACTCAGCTTGGGCTGCTGGGTGAACAGCAAGCCCTCCTTCGCCCTCAGGATGCATTTGAACTACTCTCTGCACCTGAGCAGACAGGTCCTGGACCCGGGCCACCACTTTGGAAACAGGTTTCTTCCTGTGAGTCCGCTCAGCACACTTCTCCCTCCGGCCCCTTTCTGTGGGTGGATGCTTCTCGGGGTGCTTGTGACTTGCAGAGAAACCTGTCTGCTGATGTGCCAGCCTGTGAGGCGTCCTTGGTAGCTCCCCAGCACCACCGTCCCCTGGCTCGTCCCCTGGCTCGGTGGAGCTGCAGTCAGGGGGCCATCCTCCTCTTCCAAGCTCAGCATCCTCAGAAGTGAGCCCGGAGCTCCCAAAGCCAGGGTCAGGGTCCAGCATCCTGGCGATCTCCAGGGGGCAGATTTCTCTCCTCTGCAGGGAAGAGGAACGAGCCCTATGTGGAAGCAAGTTGCCTCTCTCTTCTAGAAGCCCACGATTAGGCCTCTCTCGAGAAAGAGGAAGGGAGTTGCTGGAACAGACATGGTCCCTCCCCATCTGAGGAGCTGATTCCTGGCCCCCATGCCCTTTTCTTCTTGTCCTCTTCTGCGGAAGCGCCTCCACACTCTCTCTCCCTCCCCCAAACCGCCGGGGCTTTTTGCTCCTCTGGGTGGCCCTCTTATTGAGACAGCCCACGAGGGGCTCTCCCTGCAAGTCGCCAGCACTCTGGAAACAGTCGTCCTCAGGGGCCAGACTCACGGACAGCTCCAGCAGCTTCCCCTCCTGGTTCCCCATCGTGATCCCCAGGATGTGGTCTGAGCTTAGGAGATTGGCCAGCAGTCTCTCCCTCTCTGCTGTGAGTTTGTACAGCTCAGTTAGAATGTCCTTCGTGGGAGTCTGCTTGAAAAATATGTCCCCTGGATGTTCATCCGGCTGCAGACTGAGGCTGATGACGTCCGACCCCTCCCTGACTTGGTAGCAGTTCTGAAATGCCTTATTGGATCTGTCTAGAGTTACGGTGCCCTTGTATGAAAATCCTCGGACTTCCCCCCGTGGAAGATAGAAGCTGATGTAGCAGAGTTCAGTAATGGGCTTACGCAATTGGAGGGAGCAGTGAGTGCCTTCCATTATGCCTGCCTAATTATTCATGCCTCAGAGATGCTGGTCTGTGGTCAGGCTTCCCAGGCTCCAATGCTGGGGCATGTGATGGTGGCTACGCAGAGAGAGCAGCTGACTGTCATCTCCAGCAGTGAGACTGCCTGGGGAACAGGGGAAGAAAGTAGCTTGTCTAACAGAGTGGATAAATCACACACCAACATAAATCAAAGCATCCCCATGATTTAGCCTTCCTCTCTGGCTGACCTCAACCAATCCAGGCATCAGCCAGGAGGCTGGCTGAACTGCTTCCCCACTCCCACCCCTCCCTGGACCAGCAGAGCTTCCCTACAGCTGTGAGATGGGAGAGTGCTGTAACTTTAGCCCCAAGAAAAAAGTTCCTTCTTCCACATGGGAACTCACTATATACCTTAGAGAAGGTCTCTCAGCTTCACTAGGCTTCAGTTTATGTTCTTCTATAAAACAGAACTAATGTAGCTCCCAGAAATCTTGAGGTAAGGGGACTTTGAGATCCTTAGAAAACAGAGGCATTTTAATAACCTGTGTTTGGAATATCACTTTGCAAAAATAAGTCAAGCCTTTTTACTTTCCAAAAAGCACCTTCTAAGATTTGACATTATCTATTTATCTTAAAGTAGAATGGGGGAAAGGTACATAGCCACAAATTTGAATTCTCTTCTAAACACAATTCATATTTTGCCAAAAGAACTAAAAGTGAAAAATTTTAAGTTTAAAATTTAAATAAGTGGAATAACTTTTAGAGGAAAAACCAAGATGGCGGCATAGGTTAACGCCGGAGATTGCTGCCTCGAACAACCACTTCAAAAAACAACTAAAAGATGGAACGGACATCATCCAGAACCACAGGAAGGCTGGCTGAGTGGAAATTCTACAACTAGGAGGAAAGAGAATATCATACCCAGACTCAGAGGAGGCGCAGTGCTGAAGTGAAATACTAAGGTGCGGAGTGCACGTGGAGCGGGCTGGAGGTGGAGGGTGCGGTTGTTGTTTTCAATTGGGAGGGAGTTTCAGACTCTGAGCTCCAGATCCGGGCGAGTCTCTAGGGACCCAGATTCAAACGGGAGAAGCGAGACTGTCTGGCTTCGGTTGGAACTCGAAGGCAGCTTTCTCTCCGAGGTTTGCAGCGGTTGCTGGGACTCTGTGAGACAGAGCCCCTAGGGACGGAACTGAGAGCAGCCATAACTGCTCGCTCCGGCCCGCCCTGTAGATCCCCAGGGACTGCCCTGCCTAAGCCCTGCGCAGAGCCATTTGCCGGATAGCCTCAGGCAAACGCTAGATTAGCACCGCCCTAGAGATCCAGCACAGAAGCTCTCCCACTGCAGACACAACGGACTCTCATAGCCAGTTAGCCTGGAGGTCAAATCACCCCCAATGTTGCCGACAACAATCAAGGCTTAACTACAACAAGACTGCGCACAAAGACCACCAGGGGGTGTACCAAGAAAGCATAAAAAATGCGGAGACAAAGAAACAGGACAAAACTGTCAATGAAGGATATTGAGTTCAGAACCACACTTTTAAGGTCTCTTAAGAACTGTCTAGAAGCCACTGATAAATGTAGTGAGATCCTCAAGAAATCTAATGAGACCCTCAATGTTATGATAAAGAACCAACTAGAAATTAAGCATACACGGACTGAAATAACGAATACTATACAGACCCCCAACAGCAGACCAGAGGAGCGCAAGAATCAAGGCAAAGATTTGAAATGCGAAGAAGCAAAAAACACCCAACCAGAAAAGCAAAATGAAAAAAGAATCCGAAAATACGAAGGTAGTGTAAGGAGCCTCTGGGACCGCTTCAAGCGTACCAACATCAGAATTATAGGGGTGCCAGAAGATGAGAGAGAGCAAGATATTGAAAACCTATTTGAAGAAATAATGACAGAAAACTTCCCCCACCTGGTGAAAGAAATAGACTTACAGGTCCAGGAAGCACGGAGAACCCCAAACAAAAGGACTCCAAAGAGGACCACACCAAGACACATCATAATTAAAATGCCAAGAGCAAAAGACAAAGAGAGAATCTTAAAAGCAGCAAGAGAAAGAAACTCAGTTACCTACAAGGGAATATCCATACGAATGTCAGCTGATTTTTCAACAGAAACTTTGCAGGCCAGAAGGGAATGGCAAGAAATATTCAAAGTGATGAATACCAAGAACCTACAACCAAGATTACTTTATCCAGCAAAGCTATCATTCAGAACTGAAGGTCAGATAAAGAGCTTCACAGATAAGGAAAAGCTAAAGGAGTTCATCACCACCAAACCAGTATTATATGAAATGCTGAAAGGGATCCTTTAAGAAGAGGAAGAAGAAGAAAAAGGTAAAGATACAAATTATGAACAACAAACATGCATCTATCAACAAGTGAATCTAAGAATCAAGTGAATAAATAATCTGGTGATCATAATAGAATCAGGGACATAGAAAGGGAATGGACCGACTATTCTTGGGGGGGAAAGGGGTGTGGGAGATGCGGGAAGAGACTGGAACAAAATCGTGCACCTATGGATGAGGACAGTGGGTGGGGAGTGAGGGCGGAGGGTGGGGCGGGAACTGGGAGGAGGGGAGTTATGGGGGGAAAAATAGGAACAAATGTAATAATCTGAACAATAAAGATTTAATTTAAAAAAATTTAAATAAGTGATTCGAGAGTTTTAATCAAGTTTTTTTTTCATACTTCTTGCCCACTGAAGGCCAAATGGAATAAAGAAAGAGCAAAAATCTGAAAGCCAATGCTAGCCCTATATGGATTTTCAAATGTCTTCACCATCAAAGTGACTAAATCATCACATAATCAGTAAAGGTGGCTGCTCCCTCCTGTAATTTGAGGTGTCCCAGGAATATCTCTGTGGCTAACATCTTTACACACAGGAATGGAGCTTAGGATTCTGTATTATAGCACTTCATTTCTTCATTTAAGGCTTCCATGCTTAAAGGAAATCTCCTTGGGAAGGGAAACACAATAATCATTTATTAACCATTGATATCTTCAGTGAATGATTTTTCTCAGATTGTTTCTAGCTGGTTCTAAAGAGTAAAAAGCTATACAAAGGTACATTTTAAGTGGAGGAAGAGTAAAAGGAGGAAGAGTTTTATAATCGAAACTCCTTGAAGAAGAGTGATAAAATGAAGGTTAAAAAAATGCAGACATCTGATCAACCAAAAGTGCCAGGTGGGCTCAGAGTACTCTCGGAAAAAGAAGTGGAATAACATTTTTAAAGTACCGAAAGAAAAAACCTGTTATCCCAAAATTTTATATCAAATAAAAATATTCTTCAATAATAAAGGTGAAATAAAGGCATTCTCAATTAAGGGAAAAGTAAGAAAATTAGTTGTAAGCAGATTTGCTCTAAACAAATTTCTAAAGAAAGCTCTTCAGACAATGAGAATGTTACAGGAAGAAACTTGTAACATCAAGAATAAAGGAAAAGCAAAGGAAATGATAAATATCTATGTAAAATAATATTACCCCTTTCTTGAGTTTTTGAAAAGATGTTTGGGGAGGAGAACCAAGTTGGCGGCATAAGTAAATGCAGATACTCACTGCCTCCCACAGTCACATCAAAATTACAACTAAAATACAAAACAACCTTCATCCAGAACCTCCTGAAAGCTGGCTGAATGGAAGTCCTACAACTAGATTGTCTCTGTAGAGGCCACCACGAGGAGCAAGGGGTCCCAGTGGGAAAAGGGACTGATATGGTGGTAAAGCATAATAGTACTTTAATTCTAACTGCACTGTGAAGAGTTAGGCATATATATTGTAATTCCTAGAGCAACCGACTAAAAAAAAATACAGAGATGTAATCAATAAATTGAGAGATTCAAATGAAATAATTAAAATGTTTAAAAAACTAAAAAGAAAACAAGAAAGGCTCAATGAAGAAAAGAACAACAAAAAAGAGGCAACAATCATAAATAAATAATAAAATGATAAACCTTAGTCTAAACATATAAATAATTACATTATGTAAATGGTCTAAACACAAAGATTGTTGGAATGCATGAATATGAAGTTAAAGTCAATGGAGGAAGTTACTCAAAGAGAGTATGCAGAACAAAAACAGCAAAGGTTTCAGAACAGTCGTGTAAACATAGACATTTAAGGAATAGATGGAGTGAAAAGAAACTTTAACTGAGGCTGAGAAAGAAATAGGTGGTAAAGGAATTCTCATATTTTGTAGCCAAAAAAATACAGTTCAATGACCTAACTTCTTATTATGTTTTTTACAAGTCTGTAATACCTAGCTCTGAAATTTTTTAATCATTGAAACCAAACTGAGACCAGAACCCATTTCTCAGGAGCTAGTGTTAGATTAAACCATAGGACTTCCATAATACGAGCAAGTCTTTCTTCCTCCCTTCCCTGACAATAATAGGATCACATCCCCAATTACATCCTTAAATCCTTAGCTTCAGCTTTATCTATCACCCCTTCTTAAAGACCATGAACTGTCCTTCTATTGCTACATTTTCATTTGTAGAAGAATAGTATAAAAATAGTGACGGTCACAACCATGGTGTTGTACCATTTCAACTAGGATCAAACCATAGGATAAAAGATAAAAGGAGTGAGTTTTGGATTGTACAACTTAACATTGGCCATAAATGGTTTGTGGCAGGGTACACAGCAAACATAAGTCCCCATCAATTGTAAAAGAAAAGTGTCCCATTCATGGAATTATTAAAAAAATTTTAAATGTTGCAGAGTGCCTGGCTGGAGTGGCTCAATTGGTTGAGTATTGTACTATGCACCAAAAGTTTGCCAGTTCAATTCCTGGTCACGGCACATACCTGCACTGTACTTTGGATCCTCAGTTGGTGCACATATAGAAGGCAACCAATAGATGCTTCTCATCTCTCTCTTCCTCTCTCTCTCTCTCTCTCTCTCTCTCTCTCTCTCTCTCTCTCTCTCTCTCTCTCTCTTCCTCTCTCTCTCTTCCTCTCTCTCCCTTCCTCTTTCTACATATGTCCTCAGTGAGGATTAAAAAATGTTTTACTTTGTTTCTAAGATAAAATACTCTTCTAAAAGTTTCTGGGGAGTCCAAATCCAGGTGCAAATAGGATCCTCATGCCATGTGTTCATAATTTCTGTTTCCAACGATCACATAAGCAAGTAGAGAAAATA